AAAAAAAAAAAAAAAAACATATATAGAATTTTTATAAAGAGAACTTTTTATAAAGAAATACCTAAACACTTTTATCTTTTTTCCCGCTTAAGGTTAGCGTTACTTATACCGTTAAATAAACACCATTCGTTCCACGACGAATCAAATAATTCTGCCCGTAGATTACATCACGTCGAATGTCTATCGACTTTATTCTTCCTTTTTTTCTTTCTCGGTTAGGGGGACGTACAGAAAGTGGCAAGAATAAGGGTGGAGCGATCTGAGACCGTGGTGGGTAACGAGCGAGGTAACCAGCCAATTACTTGGCTGAGCGGTTTTATTTGTATTTAATTCTTATTTAATTTACTTTTTACGGTTGCCTTCGTCGGTTGCCTCCGTTAACGAAATGGAAGATTTCCACTTTCTGCTTCTCAAATTCAAAGAGTTGGTGGTGCATCGAACGTAATTAATTTTGAGAAAAGGCATAATAAAAACTTCCGCTCGGATCAGGCGTAATTTTCAATTTAACAAATATCTCGAAAACGATCGGTGAAGATCGTCGTGAAGATTCGATAACGTTGATCGAACAATTTAATCAGCAATTTAAACTAACGTATTTGTACCGTCTATTCTAGAAGTTACTCCGGGTTAAAGTAATCCTTTGTAATTTGAATTTTACCCGTTCGTTGGATCGAAATATAAATTGTACGATTCTTTTTTTATTATTTATTTTAGAAAAATTTCTAAAATTTCGTTGAAAATTTTAATTCCACTTTTTATTATAATTATAACACTTATCGTTCTTCTTTTTTTATTGTATTTAAAAAATATATATATATATTTAAAGATATGCTATAGATATTAAGGATAAAAAATGATTTATCAAAAATGAGATTCGGATTTTAAAGAAATCCGTTTATAAAATTTTTGAATGTTTTGATCATCGAACCGGTTTGACGAATGAACGGTAACAGAAACGGAAGAATGATCGATTTACCATCTTCCCAATTCCCGCGCGCATACGTTTACTCGAAAGGAAATTCCGCGTAAAAGTCGCAGCAAAGTCTCATTGATCCCTCCGGGATGAAGTTGTTATTCCAGTGAACTTGTTACGTTATATTTATCAGCACGGTGCACACTGCCACCACCCGTCGAGCTTTATCGTTCCTTTCGGTCCCATTTTTGCTCCCTCGACTTTATTCACCTACGTACTGTCAAGACAAAGCCGCAAACGACGTTATAAAGGACAGCCAAAAATAGGCTGTATTAAACGAATGATGCGAGTGATTTCTCTTGACGTTTAACATTTTAGCGAGTAAAAACGTAGAAAATAATATATATTAATTTTTAATTTTAATTTTAATAAAAATTCTCGTTTCAATAAATTTATAAATAAACTCTTCTCAAAATTTATAAATTTAATTAATCAAATTCTTCTTCCATATACTCTAGGAAATTGTATAATTGTATAATGGATTAAATTTATGACGGGAAAAAAATATTTCGTCTTAGAAAAATATGATGGTCGTAAAAATTTAATTGAATTAGAGTCCTTCCTCTTCGTAAGGACAAATACGAAAGGAGCTCGGAAGGTACGTGCTTAATCAAATAGTAGGAGCTTGGTGGTTGGAAATTTACCCTCTATTCCAGTCGATCTGGTTTCTCAGTCCGTTTAATGTAGAGAGAAAGCCACCCTCTTTGTAAAAGGTCAGATCTATATGAGTGGTGAGCTTACGAAGCTTATTTTTTAATTTCTGTTCAATATGTTGCCATGCCACTCGAATGTTTGTTCAACGTTTTAAAGTTATTTCAAGACAACGCGCCACCAACCCATCCCAACCCGTGGGAGGGGTTTCTCGTGCAATTGTCTTTTCTATTAGAATAGGGGGAAGCGAAATCGTCGGTCGTGTGATCGTTTCGTGTGAACCCCTTGATCCTTTCGTTTCTTCTATTATTTAAACAAACATATCATTCGTTCCACCGTTCAAACCTCCCGAGATTTTCTCAATCTACTTCTACATTTTCGAAATGTTAAACATCGTTGATAAACTTATCGAGACAACGAGATAAATTTTTCTATATTTCGAAAAAAAGAATCTAAAAAATAATGAATCTAATTTCTAAATTCCAAAATTCTAATCCTGAAATTTTCTTTCAAAATCCATCCTTTTGCATTCATCGGGATGAAACATCATCCCCTCCCCCTCCCTACACACTTATCCCATCGCGTTTCCATTCTATTTTCGTGAACCGTTCACACACAAAATATGATCGCTCGTCGTCCCTATTACTTCCCTAGCAAGCACGTCTCTTCCCTTCCGTTCAAGCGAGAAGAAACCGGATTAAAAAATGAAACGACGAAAGAGGAAAACGAAAAAAAAAGAAGAGGGGAAAAAAAGGAGGAAGAAGAAGAGAGGAAGAGAGAGAGAGAGAGAGAGAGGCTCTAAACGACGGTGGAAGGTCAAGCCCGAGATTACGAAAGGCTCGTGCGACGTTTGCTCGTTAATTAGGGAGTTCTAATTATAGTAAATGCGTGAGCAGAGGCAAGGTACGCGGAGATCGTGCCACGGCAGAAGCTCCGGGGATCAAAATGCAACCCTCCGCGAACGAGCCAAGATTACCTTCGAGGGTCCTCGCCGCTCCCTTCGCCTAAGGCCAACCTGCGACGACGACGACGACGACTTCTCTCTCTCTCTCTCTTTCTCTCTATCCCTCCGTCCTATGCCGCTCTAGATCCCTTTTCCCTTTCTCTCTACGGCTCACCCTCTACACCTCTATATTCCGTTATAGCGCGCTCTCATCCACTCTCTCTCTCTCTCTCTTTCTATCTCAGATATCACCTAAAATAACATCAGCCTGGAACCACTCGCCAGGATAGATTTTACTGCTCGGTGTATAACAAATGGATTAGTATTTCGGTAGACGAACGTTAATCCCATTTCGTTATGGGCACGGAGATATTATGTGTATGCTTCGATTATCGCGCCTTGATTTCGGTCAATCGTTCGGGATCCCTAGTATTACTATTTACGGATCGTCGACTAGGGAAAAAATGATCCTATTCGATCTGGGTTATGAGGAAAAATTAAAATACTTAAATTGATGTTAATTTGGTGCAAAGTTTTGGTTTATCAAGTGAGAGTTATGGATTTATCGTATCATGCACACGATATGAAATATTTAATTAATTAGATTTCTGAAAAAACTCGATGTAAGTTATGAGGAGATGTAACTTGGTATTGTTAACTT